TCATTCGCCTGATATTGATAGATATAAATATTTATTACTTATGCAGGTAGGCTTATGCAACCAGGTGGCAGAACACTTTCGTTTACATATTACAATTAGGACTATTAGTTATATTATACGATGTAACTTTAAATTACAAGTCAATAATAATAAAAATAGAAATGCCGATCAGATGGCAGAGATCGTTATGTACTAGTACCGTAACGATCTCGGGCGAGAAGTTCGTGAGTTCGAGTCGAGCCCCGCCTGGTTGTGTTGTGTGTGTGTGTGTGTGGGTCTGTATGTTTGTGTGTCTCTCTATTATATCATCATCATCATCATCATTCAATCCCATCCCCCAGGGCTAACAACCGTGGGATATAAATATGGAATCAACATTAAAATGCTGATTCCCCTGTAGAAACTTAACGTGCACCTACCCCGATTGTTAAGTCTGAGCTCCGATGGGATGCGTGAATCGCATGGCCCCATCATAGCCTATTCGCGAAACATAATAATAATAATAATAATAATAATAATAATAATAATAATAATAATAATGAATGCAATAAAGGCAGTAATAACAATAATAGTCACAACACTTCATTTTATGACTATCCTGCACAGATATTTTAAACTAATAAATACGCGCCTTTTTATTTACTCTACACTTGATCGGCGAAGCAAAGGTGGAAATGGAAAGGTGCCCAACCCGGTGCTACCTGCCTTGACAGCCCTCCTCCACCGCGTCGATAGCGCGGGGGCGTGCCTGTCTGCCCCCCAAGGCGCTCGCGCGGCGAGTGCGGGCGGGCGCCGGCAGACGGCGCGTCGGGCGCCGGCCTAGACAGCGGCTCGCCCGGCCGAGCGGCGACGCCGGTCTAGGTGGGCGGTGTAGCGTCTAGGCGCGAGGGATGACGTGGCGTCTGGCGGCGGGGCGGGGCGGAGCGGGGCGGGGCGGGGAAGGCGGGCTGCGAACACGTCCGGGCGTCGCGCCGCGCGGGAGGAGTTGAAGCAACTGTTACGTGGCAAGGCCGGCGCCAGCCGCACGCCCTGCGGCGGCGCGGCGTGGCGTTTGTTCCACTGCACCCACCGGCCGACAGGAGGCGGTGGAGATGCAGGCCAGGCGACGGCGGAGGGCAGAGCGCGCCAGCACGTGGGGACGGTGACAGGTTTTTCGACACTTGCTACGGAAGCAGGTCGAATTCAGCCACGCTGTGTGGAGAAGAATTGTAGGTGCCGGCTGCTCTGGTCGATAGTTTTCCTTTCTTGCTCCGATCAACACCAGGCGAATGCCGGAGCAGTACTCTAACAAACGGGTCACGGAACGCGCGAGATCCGTCATTCCTCTTCCTTTTCTATCGTCACCCCTTACTTATATAAACGCACTGCACTACAACACATGTCGGGAGATGGGTCGCGAGCTTAAAGCTTGCCGCGGCCAGTGCTGCGCCCCGCTGGTGGGAGATGCCTGGTTGGGGAAAACCCCGCAAGCCGACGTGTAGGTCGGCGCCGCAATTCTCCATTCCCCGGGGCGAGATCATTCCCACCTCCTGCGACTGTACTACACTCGCTAAGAACTAATGACCTTAGCAGTTGACGCGCCCGGAAGCACTAATCAAACTGTCAACCTCAGCGGTGAGCTGCGTTGGGAGCGAAGAGCGCATTTCTGCGGCCAGATGAAAGCGGCAGCACTTGAGGCAAGAGCGATGACATTCAAGACAGAGAGGAAGGGGGGGGGATAGACAGGGCTGAACGTGGGCCGCACGTCAGTAAGATGATGCTTCCTTATTTCTGTAACATTCTATGAAAACCAGAATATTTACTAATACCGTGCTCCGTTTCTGACAACATTCGGTACGTGAAACAAAAATCTACGAGTATTTACGTACTCTCAGCTTAATGATGGGTAGCCCAGAGCTGCTTTCCGCGGCCGGAGCAACCGGCGGAAGCGAAGGCAATGGCGACGTCTTTCAAGTCCCCGGGGGGGGGGGGCGATGATGCGAATGAAAAGGGAACATAAGGTCCTCTAATCTGGAGACTCGTTTCTGAATTGACGAAAGTTAATGAGAAATTCTAATAACTGGAGGTCGGTTGAGCAGAGCATAAAAATCTAAAAATCCTCCTCATTGTTACAAGTATTCATTCGGGAGTTAGGAGAAACTAAGCATAATACGCGAATACCGGACAAGTAATTTTGCACGTGTCTTATAAATGAAAAAAAAAGTTGTGTGTTAACATCTCAAACGCTTTCTTGAGTGTTTGGGTATTTCTGGAATACTACTTCTTCCTGGTTTGCTTTGTTGGTTGGGAGCCACACTAAAAGTTATTTATTATCACGCCAGCGTCTAAGCCTTATGGCCGTTTCTGGAACAGGTAATTTTCGGATAAATAATGAAAATGTGTTACAGACGATGGCGTCACAATGATGTAAATTAAGAGGAAGTGCAAAACGGAAGATACCTGATAAACCCTTCCGCGAACGATCTTCGCCCACCACAATCCCCCGACGATGGATCGCGACTCCAAGGCCGGCCGCTGTCCCTCGCGTCAACCCACATCGAGTTCTGTTCCAAATGCGATTCCGTTCTCGCTGGTTCCGTGGTCCCCAACATCTGTTCCTTGCGTCATCGCCTAGCATCCGCCTCTTTGAAGTACGTTTCAGCGGCCTAGTGAACTTGAGGATTCATTAAAGCGAGAACCGCGAGGCGGAGTGAAACGCTGAAAGTAATTTGTCACATGTTTGCTAATTGGATCAGGAAGATTAACTTAAACCGATTTAAAATATACATTTCTGCACACTTGTAATGAAATATATTTTAACTTACTCTCTGTTCTTTGTGTTTCCGGAAGAGAGGCCTCGAAATCTCCGTATAGTTAGCAAAAGCTTAGCCGAGTATTGCACCTCCCCGCAGAGTTACGACGGAGTCTCCGTGCATTACGTTGAAGATGATAACTTTTTGTGCGTATCTTGCGGGAACCTTTCTTCCCCTCGCGGAAAAGGAGCTCCAAGCTAAAAGCAGGGTTGCGTGCGCGGGGCCGGAACGAGATTTTTATTTTTGCCCTCTGACGACGGTCTTGTGCGAAGAAAGGAGAAGAGGCGGAGCCGGGGAGAACGGAGAGCGGAGTGGAGGAGGGAGTGAAAACGAAGCAAAGGCAGAAATGAAAATTTAGCCGGGAGCGAGTCACGAGAATTTTCGAGGGCGGTGCGGGAGCCGGGTTGTTAGTCGGGAGTTTGCGTGTGACGTTGAAACTCTCAGCGGTGAGGAACGGTGAGGAGGGAGTGGAAACATTCCCTCACAGGGAATACGTAACAATTTGATTTATGCTTTGAAAACTCCGGAAGCCACACGCAAACGCATACGGCTCGACTAGGACGCCCCCTTGGGGGCAACCATCAATCTCATTCATGAGCTGTTTGTATCTTTTGATCCGCGTGTTGCTTATATTTATTGACATGCTTAAAAAACGCCGATCAAAATAGGTTGTATGACGTGTAATCGAAGGTAATTGTTTTTCTGTGATATATTGTATAGCATTGAAAATCCTTCTTTGATGTTTTATAATTAATAGTTTATTTTTCTTTCATTTCTGCAGTTCTCTTGGTATTCCGTTTTCCAGTTCCATTTCTTCCGTCAGAACAGCTCACGACATGAACATAAATCTCTTTTACACCTACCATTCAGGTTAAATCAAGTTTTTATTTCGCATGAGATTGTACTTCATGATTTCATAATTTCAATTTGTTTCTGGAGCTTTTAAACACAAGCGGGTTGTTTTCTTTGTATTTTTTATTAATAGGTGCAGATGTAATTTTGTGGAATTTCATAATATACCAGGAATGAATATGATAATTTGTGTTCAACCAGGCCTGTGTTGGACTTTTTCTCCCTCTCTGAAGGACAAAAAAGGTTTATTGTATGTCAAGCTCATGTGTACTTCCACAAGATTTCACAAAATGGACAGAGCACGGGTTCATTGTATTTCACGAAAAATGTCCATCATTCTTGCTACAAGATAAAATATCCTTTCAGTGTTGTCCTCGTTGTGTTGGGTTATTGCAAATGCCAAGACAACTGCATAAAGAGAGTCAGAAAAGAAATATGAAAACGAAATTAAAAAGTCACGAAATTTGTTAAGATTTACTGCAGTTATTTGGATACGGATATCCGAAATCTCTTCCTACTAACACATTTAATATTTTTGCCCTTGCGACTAACCGATTCTTTCGGAACTTGGAAATTTATTTTGTTGTGAACACCATCATTCGGGCGTACGCGATATTGGATTCGTAAATTGTTTATTATGTATCTGCTAGAAATCTTAAAAATGATAACAAAGCAGAATTCAGTTTTTAAAAAATGTTCTTGAAACTGTTTTTTAATAATTTTTCTGTAATGGGTCGTTTCATGATTTTTCTTAATTAAAATATAACATTTTGTTAATTAAAATATAACATTTTGTTAATTAAAATACAACATTTTGAACCTGAAAGATAAAATACTTTAAATTTCGTTGACGCAAATGTACATTTTCTTAAACCGTATGTGTTGTTTCGGGCTAACAATTTTCAGACAAATGAATAACTCACTGCGTATGCTTTCTTTCGTATTATGAGTATTATTCAATTGTGTTATTCAATAGTCTTTGAAAATTGTAGGCCAGAGCCAACATATATTGTAAATTAACAAACATAAACTTTAAAAAAGTACATTTTCTTAATATAATAATATATTAAACTGTCAAAATCCCAGCCCAGACTTACAACTAATATGAAGTGGTCCACTTCGGGGAGCGCAGGTCAGATGGCGTTACATGACGATCGCATGCCGTCGCGCAAGTGCCTGTGAGGCCGCTGGCGCCCAGCGCCCTTCACGCTGGCTGCCCGGTCTCGTGCGGCGGGGGCTTCGCGGGGAACGGATTTTATTATGACGAATGAAAGGGAATTAGCGTGCCGTGCCGTTCCGTGCCGTTCCGTTCCGGACCGAGCCTCCTCCCCCAGGAGGCCCACTCGAGATTTATGCATGGGTGTGTTCCGTGTGAAGCCGTGCCAGCCTGGCCGCCCCGCCGCGCCGCGTGCTCGACAGAGAGATCAAAGGATGGGACAGGCGCGCTGCGGACGGGCTGATGGGGGCGGGGAGGTAGGATGCGACGTGCGACGGGTTACGGGCAGAACCACTCGTTTCTGTGTAGTTTAGAGATCAGTGCGCAGCACAAATCAGGGTTGCAACTGGTACGTTTCTGAGTCCTAGTGAGTTCTTGTTCCTTTCTCCGTTAAACCTTTTTGTAACGTTAATCTTGATCTTGTATGATACCTAAACTCATGATTATGCTCGTGTATTAAACCTTTTTATTTTCATACGAAATATTTTTCTATTTAGGCCTGACAAATAAAATACAACGAAGAGTGTAACATTATGGCTTTAATGACAGAGATAATAAAGATAATTGATTTTAAGATAATCGTTTATCAGATGGTTTCGAAAGCATCTTGCAAAATTTCCTGTATCAATTCCCCAAATTGTCCGTTTAAAAAGAGGAAAATCAGCATTTGATCTATTTACAAAAATAAAATGTTTCACTACGTAAGGGTACTGAGCCCCGTTCGAAAATTTCTGGGGGGAGTAAGGCCCCCCTATGATCACATAGTAGAGACTGCGGTGTTTCTTGGGTGGGGCGGGGCTGAGCAAGGAGGGGAGAGGGATGGAGACGAGTTTGGAAGGGGCTGGGCGGGGTTGAGCAGTACGAGATTTAACAGCGGGAGGTAGGGCGAGGCGGAGGGGTGTTGAAGGGATGACGCGATGCTGAACGAAGCATTCAATTCTATTTCCGAGAGAATATATTGAGAGATAAATAATCGAAATGCAGAAGGGAGTTTCCTGACGATCTAGTGACAGATTGAATGAGGATGAGAGATTGATGCATTAGGAAGCGAAAAAATGATGTCATTGTGGAGAAAATCGAAGTATTATAAACGATTCTAATTCTGCCACGCCATTTGTGATAATTCTCTTCAGTTCATAGAGTGTGAATGCTTCATTTTACGATATTTGTAACTGATTGCTTCAAAGCAAGCGACCAGGGTCTTTTAATGTGGAATGTTATTACTAATTTTTTATGTACTCTGAGCATAAGAACATGTTGACTGGTTTTTGCAATTGCAATCGTTCAGAAACTTCAGTATATCAAGATGATTTGCTTTTGATTGTTTGTTCTGGCTGCCCATGACATGTTTAAAAGGTACATACTATTTTTTTTCTTTCCACAGGTAATTATGCACATCCCAGATATTGTTAGTCTTAGCTGGCTGGACTCCTTCGGGGCTAAATTGCCCTTAGCAACGGCCTCTTTGGTAAGTCCTTATTGCGTTTTTCCTTAGTTTGGTTGCCGTATTGCTCTATACATCTATCTCTTGTTTTCGTTTCCTTTTTATCCTTCTCCTCGTTTATCTCATGGTTTAATGTTTCGTCTCCTCTCCCTATTTTCATCTTTCTCGACATTTTCATCTCCTCCTCCTGCGTCATCCGACGCTCTTCCAGTTTCTTTCCGACGCTCAGACATAGAGAAATTGTGTGTTGGCGTCGGGGTGCGATTGAAACACAGACACGGAGTTTTCATGTACAGATTTAGTTACAAGTTTTTCTATACAATAATTGCACTCCTGAGGAACTAGCGCTGCACTCCCAGCACTGCACATCCCTGAGGCTTACCCGTCTCATCCTTATACAGACCCAGCTGATAATTTAGCGCTGCTCCTGGTCTCTCGTACCGGCGCGAACAGCCTCACCTCGCAACCGAAGCTAGCGATAACCCCTGGCGGGTGACAAGTCCCTTCCGCACCGCGATTCGGCCCAAACTCGAATGGCCCCGGCTGCTTTCCTCCCCAGAGCCTCGCGAGAGATGACGTGACAGACCTCCCACGCCGACGGCGTCATCTCATTACCGAACCCTGGGCCTGGTTGCATTTTGGAGCCCAGCTGCCCAGCGACTGTTCACACCCATCATCTCCCTCCGCGCCTGTTGACACCCGCGTTCCGAGGCACGCCCACCCCGGCTCCTCCGTCTGCCGTCAAAGGCCTGCTCCCGCCCCTCCCCGACATGTAGGGTCCGGGGAGCACATTGGCACGGCGTGACAATACTGTACTATTCCATACTACTACCTCCTTGGCCTAACTCGTGTGCCTCGGGAGCGTCTCGTGGCGGGCGAGGGGGTGGGCAGAGGGCGCACCCTGATAAGGCCGCGGCCCATGCGGTGCGTGCGTGCGTGCGTGACGCGCCTGCCCGTTGCGTGCCTCTCCGGTGATGCGCGATGCAACACGCGGCCACCTGCCCTGCAACGATAGGGAGATACTCAAGAGCCAGTTTGGCGGAAACCTCGCCATTTTGCCGTAAGAATTAAACCCATATTTTCGATTTCTTCAATCTTGTAGCATAATCAACAGTTTTATGCAATAGTGAATTCAAGAATTTATCTGTGGTTGAGAATTTTATTTCACTGCTAATATAAAAAGCAACTTGTATTCAAATTCAATTTATTTACGTCTGTATCAAAATCTGCAATCAAAACAAGGCGATGCGATACTTAGAGAGTAATTGTAGTAAGTATACTATATGTCAACAACAAAATGTTGTGACAATTTTCCCCGTTCGATGTTGTCCTTCCCGTGTTTCATCGCATTCGGAAGACGCTCACAAATCGTTTGGGTTTTGCCACGGCCGACTCCATTAGTCTTGGCCGCCAGAAGGTCGGCCGTGATTTTGCCGAGCCGGCCGCCGACTGCGCCGTTCGTAACTGTGCAGACCTTCACGCTACAGGCAAGCGCCGAATCTGTGTCCTGAAGAAAATCACGAACTGGCGAGTTTTATTGTGTGGTACGTTTTAGCCGATGACTTTTTTCTTTCTTTGGGAACATTAACTTTTTTATGTAGTGAATCAGCAGTGCTGTCATATGTCATGAATTTCGTAGTCAGGCGAGGGAAGCTAGCATTAGGAAAGTGAGTTATATAAAAGCTATTAAACTATGAGAACAATACATTGCGTTTTTCTATATGCATGGAAACAAACTCTAAGAGATGGGCATTTGTGAAGTAAGTCGCAAAGTGAACTTGTGAAATAGATTTCATATGGTGAATATTTCCGTATTGTCATGAAATCTTATATATCATGAAAGACATTAGATATGGATTCCTAAAATCCAAATGGATTTTATGAGGTGGACAACCAGTCACCCGGCAATATAATAATAAAATAATAGTGTCTTGATATTTCATTACAATGCTCTTATTAACACAGAGGACTGTAGTACAAAACTTGTGGCATAGAAGCCGTGTAAGTGTTCTCGCTCATGCAAAATCTGAATAATGTAATGGAACGCTAAAAGTAAATATTATTTTGTCAAAGTATTTATTGTGATGAACTCTATCATTTTAAAGTTTAAAATAATATTCTTCTAAGACTTACTCGTTCATAACATTCTTGACATTCCAGTCTTGAAATTTGTACCTCAATGCAATAGCTCCATTTAATGCAATGTTACTTTTCTTCATTCTTGTTTCGAGTATTTTTTGTTCATGTCGCGGTATGTTTATGGCATGTATGTTACACTCTCTTTTCCGGGTTTACTATAATAGTAATGGATTTACTGAAGCTAATTACAAGCTTTAACTTCACTTATTTCAATATTTTATTTCAAAACGTTTTGCGAATATCCGTCTTCCCGTTCAACGCAAGCAGACACTTCAAATGGTTTTTGAATTCAGGTTAGTTGTTTTGATGATTAAAATTCACATATAATAAGCGATTTTCGATGGTATACTACGACTCGTACAACTGCCACTTCTTTCAAGAAACAATCCTTAGTGAATTGAAACGCCTGCAAATATAAAAAATACTAGTAATTGTGAAGGTTTCACTACAATGCTAGTATTAATCTAAATGAATGATATTTGTTTTTTTTTTTCTTCGCTTATTCGTTATGATTAACTTTAAATATAAATTAATCAAAACATACAAAGCATTTACTTTTCCAAATGACTCCCTGATTAACTCTAATTCGAGGGACGCAAATATCCACTACTTTTTGTTTTTTGTTTCAATTTTTTAAGATTTTGAAAATCATTGACTTTGTGTACGATTTTTTTCAAAATATGGGACAAATTTTCACAACTGTTTGGTAGAATTTGATATATTAGAGCGTGTTTGGCTGTGGGTAAAAATATATAGGGGCTTTTTCTTACGTATTGTAATGTTTTGGCAGTATTTTAAAGTATATTCTTATGTTACGATGATTTATTGGTAAGTATTTTAAAATGCAGTTGGTTTTGCACCTAATATTAATTATAAATATTGTGTAAAAAATCAATTGTAGAATTTGAAAATTAAACACGTTTTAGTTCAAATAAGTAACCACGTGTATTTATTTTATATTCAGTTTATTAATTTAGTCAAATTGGGAAATGTTTCATTCACATCAAGATGTGTTGCAGTACAGAGGCTGCACTACAGCTAGCTGGAGGAGGAGAGGGGCTCAAAAGTAATTTCTGTTTTTTTTGTTTTTTTTCGTATTAACAAATAGGCTAAGGAAGATTTTAAATTAAAACAGGTATTTACTCCAATTCAAAATATGAATCTGACATTAAATCCGCGCGATGTTTTCCCCCGTAGGGTCGCCGACCTGCGATGTAGTCACGGTGTAGGAGGGGCAAGACTATGCGCTCTCTTGTTCACTCCGCAAAAACCAAGTTCATGGGTGATGACGGCGCATTCCTATAAGAACTACGTGTTGGATAATTCGCGTAATTTGTCTTTAAACCCCGTATGTTCAACAAACTACGTTATTAAACCTAATGTGAGTTTGCTGTTATTCAAGTAGGTAAAAAACCATGTCTACTTGTACTTTATTCATTGCTGTACTTCGTAATCTTTCAGAAAAAGAGATAAGAAATAATATTATACAATTTATTTTACTACTGATTGAGACATTTGGTGGTATAGTAGATAATGACAAGCCGCATTTTCAGTATAATATAAATGTGTAAAAATTACATTGCTAAATATTTTACAAACTGCATTATTCCAACAATACCATTGTGATGTAAAACTTTGTTTAAAAGTAATACTATACAATATGCAAATTAACAACACAACGCAAAACATCACACGACACTCACACACACACGCACATACATACACACACACACGCACATACATACACACACACACACACACACGCACACAGGAGAGGCAACAAGCGGCTCATTGCACCCATTTCACAACACAGGGTCCACTTACACGAAACACGAGACTTAGCACTTCCCACGCAACACTCAACATACGCTGCTCCCCTCAAGCCACACGGCTCTCAAACAAAGTCCAATATACGATTCTCTACCCTCTACTATAGCCAACCAACAACAGTTAGATACTATCCGAGAATAAATGTACAACCTATATTAGAAAAATAATAAATTATTATATAAAAATTATTGGCACTAAGTGAAATCTCCAGTAGTGCTGCAGGTATTAAATTCTTTCACTTCTCTGTTGATACATTTTAATCCATATTGTATAATAATGTGTCAAAGAATGAGGTCTAATATTACGGAAAATATAAAAGAACAGATAATATGAAAGGCAGGAAGACAACAAACCTGTGCCATTTCAAGTAAGCGTTATAATTACGAAATAAATCAGCAATATTTCTGAACTATTTGTGGCATGTAGAATGGTGTAAATGTTAAATGGTATCTGACAATACACGTGCTACCTATTTTAGAAAAATTAATGAATAATTATAATTATATCTTTTAAAATGATTAGGGCTGAGGAAACATCTCCCGCTCGGATCTAAGTAATTTAGTGCAATTTTGCATAATAATGTTTAAGCGTGTGGTGTGATAATGTAGAATAAGTCAAGGAAAAGATGAGTTTAGTTTTCCGTCGATGGAAAGAGGATGACGCCGAAACGCCTCGGGCGAAGGGAACGGAAGCGGTGCCATTTTAGGCAAGCGCTGTAATTACGAAATAAATCGCTCACATGCCAAAGCTGCCTGCTGCTTGTTGTGTAGCATGAGCGGAAGCGCAGTCGGGGGGGGGGGGACCAGAGGGGCGGAAATGTCGATGAAATACGCCCTCTTATCCGTCACTTCCTTCTCGCTATCGGCTCTCACCAGCTGGGTTCAGATTAGAAAGAAAATTGAAGTACGGATTTGGTTGTTTTTGCAGAGCAAAGTATTAGAAGAAAACAGCGCAAACACAATCACCAAAAACAACTGAATATCGACCTTTCTAAGAGATAGGAGACTGGGTGGTTTAGAATTACAGCAACGGATGTGAGTTGTGAAGTTCGTGAAAAGTTCTGAGCGTTAACCGTGATGTTTAGCGGATATGCTGGTATTTAGAGGGTGAAGTAAGCCATTACAAACACCTTCTGGACTTAAAATAAAATAAATAATCATTGGGCGCAGTATTATAAATTGTTACGAGACTGAATGCAGCGATTATATGGTTATTTTGAAATGGTACTAGATTATAGCCAGGCGGAGAACTTTTCTACTGTTTACAGTAATATATACCAATTAACGTATCATTTTAATAATAAATACTGATAATTATTTTGTATTTGGATACTACTTTGCGATTTTGAAAATAGTTATGTTTTATATTTGCAGGGAATTAAAATATATCTGTAAAATTCCATTCACAATTTACAATGAAATACATTGACATTTGCTTGAAATATTAATTACAGATAAAATAATAATTTTTTAAGCAATAGAGTACCATTATGAGTGTAACGGAACATTACAGAAGCTCTTATGTACCTATCAAAAGGCCAGTCATTGTCATCAAATACAGGATACGTTGCAAATGTTTTAGCGGAAAATACTGCAAGCACGGGTTGTGATTGGATGCCTTCTGACGGAAAGTGATAGAAGATTCAAAGATCTCCGCTTTGCAGCAATGGTATTTCTAGTAACTGCCTGACTCAGCACTGTTGTACAACGGCTTTCTAATGATTACTTTCTTACACAAAATTGTCTTTAGTTTTGCGCTGGATAATTCTTTATGAAATAAAGGTAGGTTGATTTTAATGAAAAAATACAGATGTAACTTCATTGTCTTGCGTATGTTTTCGTCAGATATGTGTCTCGTGGAAAATTTAGGTATTTTGTAAGCAGTTGGCATAAAATAATCGTTTTCCGTTTCTCTCAGTTCTAAGTCAATTACTTCACATGGGTCACGAAGTTCATAAACCAAAATCTGTTGTTCATTTGCAGATTCGAATAGTTGATAATTACACGGGCGAGAATACTATTTCTTAATACCAACATTTTTTAAACCTCTCATTGCTACCTTTATCCATAATTAAGCTAAACCAAAGATTGAGAGGTAAATATTCTTCTATTTTTTAAACTGATTTTTGGCGTTAAGTAAGTAAATAAATAAACGAACGAACATGTTTCTATTTTCCTCCACTCTGCCAGATTCAATAAATAAAAGACGTTTCTCTTCCTTGAAAAAAATTGTATTCTTTGTGAATTAAGATGAATACATAATTTGTTTCTGGTGATCCAAGAAATGTAAATTGAAAGACAGGTGCAAAGGTCTTTTGTGAATGACGCTTGTATAAAGGAATGTTTTGAAAAAGTTCTATGCGCACGTGTCGAAACTCGAAAATATGATCGAGAGATAATATGAAAAATAGGTTTATCGACATTGCGTGGAAAGTATTGTATGGTGTAGGTTGCAAGACTTTCGAGTACTTAATGACGTCAAAGGAGATACAACAAACTACTTTGTGTGAAGTATCTACAATCGATGGCAGGACTTGTCTAGAAATTGTATTCTTTGGAAGTACTTATCGTTTGAATGTTTTCTACGCGTGTCCGTTTTAGAAATTGTATTGTATGTGTCTTGCGATACATGTTTACTTTCTCGCCGTTAATTCGTAAGAAGGAAAGTATTGTCTTCGTGAGACAGAAAACGGCGGATTGTCGGCAGAAAAGCTCTAATTGCGGTGTTTTAGTAACGAAACAATGGATAATGCATCTTCTTCCTATAATGAAATGTAATATAATAAAATAATTCCTCTAACACGTTGTGTAGTTTGAATCAATGATTTGTGGGTCGTTAATACAGAAAAATCGATTGACGGCAAAATGTTTGTCTGTCCGTCTGTGAGCGAGGGCAGCGCCTAAACCGATCAGCCGATTTTCTCCAAAATTGATGATCGATATCGATTTAAAGGGACACAACAACCACTCAGTTTGAAACGGGTACTTTGAGTTTTGGGAGTAAGAAGCCTCAGTCAATACTGGCTCCAATTTGTTTTATGAAACTTTGTGCTAGGATAACATAAACGACGGTTAAGAGAATCATACAGGTCTCATTTCGTTGAAATCCGGTTTTTGTTCAAATTATTTTCCGCGTCTTCCTACAATATTGAAGATACATTTTTCTCTCTAATGAAATCTGTACTATAAAGACGACTTTCGAAATAAGGGAAGGGTGGGGGAGAGGCGTGGACCGGCTTGGTAGGATCGTGACGGGGGCGCGGAGTAGCGGGGACGTGTCCTTTCGAGGCGGGGATATTATCTTGATAGGGCGTGGGCGGGTCGGAGACGTGTCAGGGACAGGTGAGGTTTGAAGCACGGAGAGGAAGGGTGGTGTATAGAGGCGTGGATTGGAATGACGAGAACGTGGTGTGGCGGGGATCTTAACGTGGCAGTGCGTGGTCGGGACGGATCGGGGAGACGTGAGACGTGAAGCGGGAAGAGGAAGGGCAGGGCAGAGGCGTTGACTGGTGTGATGAGAACTTGGTGGGACGGGATCATGTCGGGGCCATGGCGTAGCGGGGAATGTCCTCAGGTGGCAGGGCTTTATCTTGGCGGTGCGTGGGCGTGTCGGGTCGGGGAGAGGTGACAAGTGAAGCGGGGAGGGGAAGGGCAGGGCACGTCGGAGAGGCTACTTCGACGTCGCATCAGGGCGAAGGAGGCGCGGCGGAGCGGAGCGCTGTGCGGGACGGGGGTCGCCGGTTTTTGCCCGCTCCTGAATGGGCAACGGAAGGTGTGAGTCAGGCCTATGTGGATGCCTCGTTAACGGCCGGCGGCGGCGCGGCGGCGTCCTTCAGGTAATGACACACGCGCGGCAGCGGCACGAACGCATGGCATCCAGGAAGTACGAATACGCGTCTGGGACCAAGGACGGCGAGCGCTCGCGACGGCTATTTTTGGAGAATGTGATGGGGAGGAACTCGTGAGCTGTTCTAATACGCCTATCCCTAATGCAGTATGTCCGTGACCAGTCAAGGATTACTTTTTCCCACATTCCAAGAACTGAACTAAATATAGCGTTTTTCTAAAACACAAAATAATTACAAATATTTTTATTTCGCAGAAGTGCGATCTGTAGGGTGTATTTTTTAAAGCCTTTTTTTGAATCATGAGAGAGGGAATATTCTATGATGACATTTTCCACAATGTTTCCTCTAATCGCATCATCTAATGTAATGGAGCCCAATCATCTACTTTCTTCG